GGTCCAAAATGCAGGTTTTAGCGCAATTTTTCAAAAATGGAGTTAAGCGAAAGGGGGGGCAACTAATTGGGAGGACTACGAAGTACACTGAACATGATTATTTTGATGATGATGATGATGATGATGGTGAGGTTGACGACTATGATGATCATACGCCATCACGAAAGTACTGTAAATACCGAGTAAAACGGCTCTTGTGGGGATATTGTTCGGGGTGTCACCCCCCACCCCCCCCACCCCCCCCCCCCATCCCCCCCAAAAGAAACACAGACACTGCAAGTCCAAAGAAGAAAGCAGCCGACTTGACGCAAACAACGGGAACGGAGAAGCCACCCATCGAAGTCCAAGCTGCTATGTGCGAAAAGTCGAGTTTTGGCACAGCGCAGCCCGGAAAACGAACATGTTCTTCAGGAAAACACGGCAAAAACCGACACGAAATGCAAAACGGAGGTGTTTGTCCACACAGCCACGTTCCAAAACTCGAGTTTTAAGCACATTGCAACCCTGAAAGCCACGAATCCTCCGCGGCGGCAGACGCAACAGCTGCCAACAACTACTGACAACAACATTCGTCTGCTGGTTCCGACTGCACAACATGCAAAATCATCCAGGCTGCCTTCCCTGAGCAATTGCTACTGCCGTCGATTCAATTGGCCTTTGCTCTCTTGCTGTCCGTGCGTGCGAGTTGTCCCACTGAGTCTGTTTTTCTTGCCTCGATCTTTCTGAAAGTAATCCGCGAATCCGCGCTTGCAGTTGAAAGCTCCGGTTAACATTCGGCTATCCTGTCCCCGCAGGCCTCTATGGTTTCGACAATGACTTTACCGATCGCCGCTCGTGCACACGCAAATGCTTTGCGGTCAGCACGGCAAATCGCGAGCAGTTCACAGCTGTGCCATCTGCAGCATGGTGCCATTCTGGCATTTACGCTTCTTCAACCAAATCCTTGAGGCTTTGGCATCTGCTCCAGCAGAGTTCTGTCGAGGACCAGCGTCTGGACCTAATCTTCCCAGATTCAGCACATCAGCGCACCATGTTGCACCAGCAACCCTGCGGGCGACTGGGCTGACCGACAGCCCCACAAGCCACTGCTTTTAAGGCTTCCTCCTGAAATCAAGAACCGTTGAGTGTTTCCTGGAGCATGACGCGAAGCTATGCCTTGCACAGCAATCCGCCGTCACCAACTACGCCCATACCTCTGAAGGGAATCATCGTCCACCGCTCGCTCTTGCTTTCATGCGTGGCTTGGGGCAGGACGCTCCACAACCGAGACTTCCTGGCCTGCAGGAGCAGCTCACGCCGCAGATGGGTGGATGGGAAGGTTCTCGCTGAGAGCTGCACCCCCTGCGGTGAGGGAGACCTGTCCGGGCCGCGAGAGCACAAAGAAAACCTCCTCTCGGGACAGCACCTGCCCTTGCAAAACAATGTGAAGGTCGGGCGTCTCCTGGCATAAAAGTCGGTATGAGCCAAGAAAACTCAAAATCAAGCACCTTGTGCCCAGCTTCCATGATTGTGGCGCCATTCTCGAAGCTAAGCACATTGACCTGCCGTTGTGGGACCCCTCGCGCATGAAACTCTCGATCTCCCACTCCAGACCCGCACCAAAAGCTAGAAGCTTGTGGCATCTGGGGCTCCAGCTTTGTCAAACAGGCACTGCATCTGTCAGGAGGGCAGTGGATGCAAGCTGCAAGCGAGTGGTCAACGTGAAGCCAAGTATGCATCACTCCATGCTACCTGCGACGGCATGGGGAATATGGCTCATGCCGACCTGATAAGGCGTGAGTTTGCGTAGCAGCCAGCAGGAATCACAACCTGGGGCAAGCAGCCCATGAATCCATGAACTGTGCAACCTACTCGTGTTGAATACCGTACCCAGCTAGGACTGTCATTCGGGCACTATGCCAGGTCCCCAGCTGAGCGCTTCGTTCACTGCACTGCTGGCTTGACCTCTTTCTCGCCTGAGTGGCCGATGATAGTGCGAAGGATGGCAGGTTGCAGCCTCTCGAGGTGCGAGCTGATATTGCTCAGCAAGGAGAGCACGGCTCCTCGCCCCATGCATGCCATAGACCTCCACCTCTCCTGCAAGTACAAGCAACGTCGACTTTCTGTCTGCACACCTAGCTATGGCAGCTGATGCAGATGCGCACCTTTGGCTTGGATTGTGGCATCTTGTGCACCTGACATGAGGATCACGTTCTCCCCGAAAGCGGCACCTGCGAAGGAATCCTAAGAGGTCGAGCTCACAGCAATACCTGAACCCAGTCCATCCGACCTTTGGTGATCTCCGACTTGGTTTCACCATTCCTGAAACCAACCGGTCAACTACCATCGGCGTATTCAGCGCGGCTCGCAACACAAGGGTTTCAAACCCAGCCTCAAGACCACCAACGTGCCCTTCGACACTATGAAGAAGTGGCTTCCTAGCGAGCAGCGGAAATATTCAGGACTAAAGTGCATAATCCCAGATATGGGTGATATGTGTGTATGTATATATGCACATAGATAGATAGATAGATAGATACATAGATAGACAGATAGATAGATAGCTAATGATAGCTAGATAGATAGATAGATAGATAGACAGGTAGGATAGCAAACACGATCCCAAAATCGACCTCGCCAATAGTCTTGTCCTCGACACAAGAAACGATTGCTATCCTGACTGCTGTTTCCGATGGTACTCCCATCTGCATACATTATACGAACATAACTGGTACTACCAAATAATACTAATATGAGACTAGCTGTAGTACTCGCTGTTGAGAAAACTAGTGCTCATAACATTTCCCGACTATGAACTCTAGTCTTGCTGGCATTGCCAAAATCACCAACATTGCCAGCCTTCTTTGGCCACACGAACGAACAGTATTCCTGGCATTATATAATAACATCCGTACATATACATATACATATATATGTATATATACACATACACATGTACATACCTATCTATCTCTCTGTGCTTGCCTAGAGTCTGCTATGCACCCACATATTGCCGTCAGAAAGACAACAGGAGGACAGAGAAGGCTAGAGAGACAAAGACACATAGATCTGACATATCAAGGGGGTCGCCCTGCGTCCGGGAAAAAGCAATGCCGTAATGGTCTTGGGGTTCCATGCACACGGCCTCGATAGTTTCCTTGCCGCGAAACTTGCGTACCGTCGGGGAAGCGGAAAACCTGCCGGCACAACTCAATAGCCAATGTGACTGGCACACGATGCACGAAGCCCCTTCTTCGAGGCTTATCTAGCCGCTCAGGTGCACTGTCCAGCCAATAAGACTAGTATCTGGGAGGGGCTGCAGTCCCGCGATCCTGGCGCAGCGTTTTGGATGGTTGCAGGGGAGAACTCCCCACACCAGATTGCAAAGGATAAACACGGCTTTGAGCTGCTCAGGATCTCACGATACAGGACTTGGAAACCCGGGGCGCAGTCCACATGCGCTCGTCCAGCACCGATGCTTCTACAGCCTGGGGATGCCCTGGGTCGGCGGCCTGAGCCGGAGGCTCCTTTTTTCACAAGGGACTCGACTCCTCCGGCTCCTAAAGTTGGAATCTTCTCGGCAGTGGTCTTAGAACCTGCTTTCGGTTGCTTCCCAGAGCGACAGCGTTCTCTGAAAGGAGTGCTCTGAATCGGCCGGCTGGCGTCAATAGCTTTCCCGTCGCACAGATGCAAACAAGATTTGCTAATGCTTTGCAGCAAACAAACGCTTCAAGTTCTCCTCAATACCTAAACCAAATCAAAGCAATAGCCACACAGTACCCACAAGTACCTGACAAGTAACGACGATCTCATGGAAGGCGGCCACCATGTGTTGAAGTTCTGTCCAATGCTGCGTCTTGTCATGTCCTAGACCCCAGACTTCCTGACCTTCTGACCAAGACAGCTTGCAAGGCTTGCCCCCGCCGTACAGCCCGACAAATACGTCGCTGTTAAGTGTTGGAGCAAGCCGGCAGGGACATCATTCTCGCAGATGCTACAGCTAAACGTGCTTTGTAGGTGTGCTTTGTAGGTGCACCCGAGAGCGGCCTCTGAAGAAATACATTATTGAGACGTACGTGGCACTTTTGTAACTGTAACAACACTTCCGGCACGTTGAGACACTGCAGTGACCCACGCTCGAAGCAAAAGTACAAAGTGACAAGGAACATCGTGGACACACTTCAACTGAAGGAGAAGCAATGTTGGATTCAGTCGCACACCAGTTCTGGAAATACCAGATCTCTGGAAGCAGGACTGCTTCAAGATGCACTGGCAGCGGCTGTCATTACCTGATTGTCTTCGGAGCTGGACAGCTCTTAGCAAAAACTGTAGCCTCATTCCTGGTGCAAGACAACAGAATGTGTTCATGGAAAGCATCTGGAGGTTTCGACCCACTCGCACATATATGTTTATCAAGCCATGACTCGCTGCCAAGAAAGACAACAAAGGCAAGCTTTTGGCTGCAAGAACCCAAGCATTGAACATGTTGCATAGTCATAGCCACCACACGCCAGCATGTCCGTCTTATAACCGAAGTGCATGCGGTCATGGCTTCGGCCATGTCGGAGTTCCCGGCCGTCGGATCTCTCATACTTCCCAGCAACATAACTTCGGCAGTCGCAACGGTTTGGCTTTCAGCAACATGGCAAAGAGCGAACGCGAACACGGTGCTCAACCCACACTCTTGGTCCTTCATGTTTACACTTAATTAGCCGAAGCGTGCACCGTCAACGAAACCAACTGAGGGCTGGGGTTCTCGTTGTAGGGCCTTCTGCCAGCCCAGAAAACGACAATGAGGAGATGCATTTCTGAACCAAAGCAGTGGTAAGTGAAAGCTTCCGGTGTGACGCCTCCATGGCTGCTATGAGTTTCTGCAAGGTCTCCTGGTCAACGTCCTTGAAGTACAGGAGTTTCCTGTGACAAAGCGAGACAGATGGATGTTGGCAGCCACGGTTTGGCACGAGCTTGATCTTTGAATCCGTCAATCTGACCCGAAATCACTACCGCGCTGGTATGTACACTTGCAGGGTCTTCTGGACCTAGTGGCCACTGCCTGTCGCAGCATGACTATCCACACTTCAGCCATGGCTTCGGATATACTCCAAACGATTTTTCCGGCTTTGCGATGGGGGCTGCAACAGTGATCGTGACTAGTCGTCTGGTGGCAGTGGCCAGGGAGCACAAACTAAGGGGCATTGCGACCCTCGTCTGAACTTCAGGGGCATTGGCTGCAACATGCAGAACATGCACAGGCACTGCGAGGCTTGTCCAAGACATCTTGCTACAGAGCTTTCCTGAAAAGCCCGCAGTTCCTGGTCATTGCAAAGAAACGAATTTGTTCGTCGTTTTAAGTCCTGTGAATTCGGGCTGCTGGAAATTGGGACTACACAGACGACTTCTCTGTCGTTCGAGGAAGTGGTTGAAGGTTCGCTGCCCAATGCCTGCTCAATTCCACTGGTGCAGGCTCGTGCGAAATGCAACTTGCGCTGCGAGCCTTCGAAGATACGGTGCATTCAAGCATTTCTGCAGTCTGTCTGCCCAAAGCTTCCCTTCAAGAAGGGCACGCCGCTGGCGGCGGATCCAGTAATAGCAGGACCTCTCCATCGCATCCTCGGAACCTCAGACTCGAACTTCCCGCTACAGTCTGCTACAGTCAGCTACAGTTGAAGTCCTGCCTACTCCTGACAGCCCCATGCCTCAGCCCTGCGTCCCAGAACGCTCCAGCCCTCTCCTGAATCCTCGGGTCCAGAATTGCCCGCAACTTTCCATATAGCCTCCTACATAAAGTTTGCTGACGCCTAGGCTCTTATCGACTCTTCTCTCTTACAGAGTAGCAGCACAAGAATCCCTGCAGTGATCGGACTTTCGATCAGCCGGGGTGCAACCGCTTGGCATTCGCCCATTGTGATCCCAAAAGAACATCGTGAGCTTCTCGAGGTTGTTGTCAAACATCTCCTTCTACGCATCTGGGCTACTCTCTCAAGGCCACAGCAACGTGCCCCCT